AAGTAACAAGAGGGAAAGGCCCATCGGGGAGCCCTTCCACGTCTGAGCTTTGGGAAGGGCTCTCTCTGCGCTGTTCCCAGATGCCACCAACCAGGGCTCGCTGACATTCGGAGGCTGGTCCGCACCGTTAAACACGTCCTCTACCAGGGAAGCCCCTGCTCCTTACAGCGAACAAAACCGCCATTGGGAGTCCCGGTAACGTTGGTGGAAGAGCAAAACGGTTTAAATGTCTGTTCCTGGTAATTTACATCACGGGCCTGAAAATACTCATCCAACCTGACCCACAGGACTTACTGGCTGCTTGCCAAGGGCCTCACCACGCCCTCTCGTGGGTCCATGTCACAGACACACGGAGGCAGGACGAGAATACGTGGCTGTTCTGAGTCCCAAGACTTGGGTGCTCAACTGCCTCATTCCTGCTGCCTCCTTGGGACCTGGCTGCAGTCCTGTCCCACGCTGACGTCACCTAGCCCAGTGGTTGGCAAACTGTGGCTGGGCAAACCGCGGCTCGCGAGCCACATGTGGCTCTTTGACCCCTTCAGTGTGGCTCTTCCACAAAATACCGACTTCTGCGCATGGGCCACTAAATTTCAATCACACTATACATGGGCGCCCGCACGTGGAATTTTGTGGAAGAGCCACACTGAAGGGGCCAAAGAGCCACATGTGGCTCGCGAGCCACGGTTTGCCAGCCACAGACCTAGCCCATCGCAGGCACTCAAACATGAACCCAACCTCCCCATTTCTAGAAACGCTGGGTGTAACAATGCTCACTGCAATGTTTATAAATATGATTGCCAAAAATTAGAAATAACCTGAGTTCCAGTCCTAGGAGAACAGAGGCAATAATGCTGAAGAACTGTTTTTTTAATAATATTCAGGAGAACCGAAAACAGGCCTGATAAAATATTAAGTGAAAAAAGAGGATACAAAACCATAGCTTATTAAAATTCTTATTGTCTTAAGAAAAACCATATATGAGCCACTGGAAGGTCAGAGAAAGACAAGTATCACATGCTCTCCCTCCCACGTGGAATCTAATGAACAAAATGAACTCATGAACAAAATAGATCCAGAGACATAGAACCACGGAACGGACGAATTTCAGAGGGAAGGCGGGGCGTGGGGAATTAACTGGGGGACGTATATACATGTGTGCATAGCCCATGGACAACAGTGTGGTGATGGCTTGGGAGGGGTGGGTGCCGGGTGGAGGGAGTCAATGGGAAAAAACAAAAATAAGAAACAAAACAAAAAAGAGACATCTGTAATACTTTCAACAATAAAGATAAACTAAAATATATATATATATGATACTGGAAGGCTATCTATCAAAATGTTCTTAGTGGCTTCAGGGAAAAAAATGGTTGAGCCCAGGCTGGTGAGGGTGGGTGGTTAGAGCATCCGCCCTCAGACCGAAGGGTTGTGGGTTCGATTCCTGGTCAAGCACACATACCTGGTTTGTGGGTTTGCTCCCCACCCCTGGTCAGGGAGCCTGTGGGAGGCAACCAATCAGTGTGCTTCTCTCACATTGATGTTTCTCTCTCTATCTCTCTCCCCCTCCCTCCCTCCCTTCCACTCTCTCTGAAAAGCAATGGAAAAAATACCCTCAGGTGAGGATGAACAAAAAAACAAAAAAATGAGATAATACATGGAACGTACTTCAAACGGGACCCGATGCCAACCACACGTTCCAGGAAAGTTCCTGTTGTCCTCCTGTACCGCTGGGATTGCAATTGACCCACTTTCTTCTTCTTCTTTTTTTTTTTAATAGTCAGGTTTTGCATGTTTTATTTTTTAAATATATTTTATTGATGTTTTACAGAGAGGAAGGGAGAGGGATAGAGAGTCAGAAACATCAATGAGAGAGAAACACTGATCAGCTGCCTCCCGCACACCCCCCACTGGGGATGTGCCCGCAACCAAGGTACATGCCCTTGACCAGAATCGAACCTGGGACCCTCGAGTCTGCAGGCCGACGCTCTATCCAGTGAGCCAAACCGGTTAGGGCGACCCACTTCCTTCTTTACAATCTTTTGGAATTTCCAAATTTTCTACACTAAAAAACATTGCTTTAATAATCAGAACGCAAGTTTTCTTTAAGAAAAGAAGTAAAAAAACTGGAAGGAGAGAAGACCAAAATGCTAACAGATTGGGAAAACACAGGCCTGTGTGTGAATTACAAAGGGTATGATGCTACTGTTTTATGCTGGGCAAGTCCTCTGCCTAAACATACACAGAGGGGGCTCCTATCATACGACACCCTAAAAGGAAAAGCAATTGGGTCCTGTTACAGAAAACATTAAAGGGGTAACACTCTTGAACATGGAATCAAATGAATCCCTTTTGGACTTAGCAAAAGAATATGCTTAGATATGAACAGCAACTTTAAAATGTGTGGCTTATTGGACTTCATCAAATTAGACTTTTGGCAGGTGTGGCTCAGTGGTTGAGCATTGTCCTATGAACCAGGAAGGAGGTCACGGTTCAATTCCGGTCAGGGCACATGCCCAGGTTATGGGCTCGAGCCCCAGTAAGGGCATGCAGGAGGCAGCTGATCAATGAATCTCTCTCACTATTGATGCTTCTATCTCTCTCTCCCTCTTCCTCTCTGAAATCAATAAAATATATATTTTCTTAAAAATTAGAAACTTTTGTGTTTCAAAGGACACCATCAAGAAAAAGCCTTCAGCCCTAGCTGGTTTGGCTCAGTGGATAGAGCGTCGGCCTGTGGACTGAGGGGTACCAGATTCGATTCTGGTCAAGGGCACATGCCTGGGTTGCTGGCTCAATCCCCAGTAGGGGGTGTGCAGGAGGCAGCCGATCAGTGATTCTCTCTCATCATTGATGTTTCTATCTCTCTATCCCTCTCCCTTCCTCTCTGAAATAAATACACACACACACACACACACACACACACAATATATATATATATATATATATATATATATATATATATATATACACACACACATATATATGTATGAATATATATATACATATATACACATATATATAAATTTTTTTAAAAGCCTTCAGAATGGGAGAAAATATTTACAAATCTGATAAAAGACTTATATGAAATGTATAAACAATTTTTACAACTCAACAGTAAAAAGACACATAACACAATTAGTAGTGGGCAAAGGATATGGACAGACATTTCTCCAAAGAAGATGCACCAATAACCAGTAAGCACATGGAAAGATGCCCAATGTTATTAGCCATCAGGGATACGCAAATCAAAACCACAATGAGATTCCACTTCACACTCCCTCGGATGGCCAGACTCAAAAGGACCAACGACGACAAGTGATGGCTAAGATGTGGAGAAACGGGAACCCTCACACCCTGCTGATGGGAATGTAAAATGGTGCAGCCACTTTAGAAAACAGTCTGGCAGTTCCTCAGAAGGTTAAACATAGAGTTACCATGTGCCCCAGCAATCCATTCCTAGACATACACCAAGAGAAACATATGTCCACTCAAAAACTTGTACACAGCCCTGGCCCGAGCAGTTCAGTTGGTTGGGTGTCATCCCGTGTACCTAGGGGTCGCCAGTTCGATTCCCAGTCCATGTACATGCTCGGGCTACAGGCTCAATCCCTAGTAGGGAGCATGCAGGAGGCATGCCGATCCATGTTACGCTCTCACATCCATGTTTCTCTCTCCCTCTCCCTCTAAAAATCAATTTAAAAATCTTTCTTAAAAAACTTGTACACAAATGTTCATAGCAGCATTATTCATAATAGTAAACAAACAAACACACAAAATACAATCTAAATGTCCATCAACCAATGAATGGATAAGCAAAATGTAGTGTTATCCATACAATGGAATATTATTCATCCATAAAAGTCATGAAGTCCTGACAGGCTACAACACGAATGAATCTTCAAAACATATGCTAAGGGAAAGAACCAGACACAAAAGGTTACATAATGTATGTTTCCATTGGTATGAAATGCCCAGAAAAGGCAATTCTGCACAGACAGGAAGTAGGTTAGTGGTTGCCAGGGCTGGGGGCGGGGGAGTCTACAGGGACAATGGCATGGAGTACTTCCTTTGGGGTGATGAAAATGTTCCAAAGTTTATTGTGGTCATGGTTGTATAACTCTGTGAACACACTAAAAAAACCACTGCCCGCTACATGTTAAATGGCTGTAGGGTATGTGAGTTTTATCTTAATAAAGCTGTGTTTTGGTGGTTGTGTTTTCCAAGGGGATGCGGATTCAATGGGATCTTGTCTCCCTTTTGGGCTAGCCACCTGAATTACAAATAACACCTCCTGCTCCTTCCTAACTCAGGACACATCTCAAGTCCGTGACTACCCCTAGGGAAGATCAAGTCCTGCACGCACTTGAAAGGTACTGTATTTCCCATGTATGACGCCCCCATGTACAAGACGCCCCCCACTTTCCCAACCCAAAGTTAAGAAATCAATATTTTAAACATTTTGCTGGTTTTCCTCTTAAGGCTTCTTCTTTTTTGGCACCTTAAGGAGTTGTTCTTCCTGTTTTCTCCACTGTCTGATCATACACTCAGTGGAAGGAGGTCCACATTGTTTCTCTGCAGCTCTATTTCCGTGCTCTTTGCATAGCTGATTACATTCGGTTTGAATTTTGCGGAGTAAGACAATCGCTTACCGGTATTTACCTTTTTATTTTTTGACACCTTTATGGGTTCAGAACGCTAAGGTCCCTGTTGCATCTACACACTCTCCACCTCCACCTCCAATAAGCTGATGTCAGTAACAATAAGACTTGTGATTGAAGGAAGCCTGTTTGACAAGGTATGGGCAGCTACACACACGCGTGGGCCTCCCGCCTCGGCTGATTTCCATGTATAAGATGCGCCTCGATTTTCAGTCTAATGATTTTAGAAAAAATAGCGTCTTATACATGGAAAAATATGGTACCTGCCTCGCTGCCCTGCCCCTCCCTGGCTCCTGTCTGCCCTGATAGCTGGATCCATGGGAGCCACACCCGCCCAGGGTTTACCTCATCCGGGCTGGACGCCTGGTACACACGGCACGAGTCTTCATACTGCTTCTCGGCCTCGGCCTGGTCGGTCACGCCGTTGGACTCGTACACGGGGGTCACGTTGTGGCAGAGTGCGATGGCCTTCACGGCCTCGTGCACGCGGCTGCTCATGGTCCGCCGGACTTTGGTGGTGATGGTAGGGCCCTTCTGAGCAGGCGGGTCATGGGATTGCTGTGAGGAGGGAACGACAAGGAAGGTGACCACAGGCACAGAAAGTCTCCAACGTGTGGAAGTACAGCCTCGCGGAGTCGGCGTTTCTTACTGCAGACTAGCGGTAACTCCCAGGCTAGCTACGGCGACACTGCAATAAATGGCGTGTGGTTTTCAGGGACCCAATCATTGACGCTCAGCACAGCAACAAAAACCACACAAAATAAACAGGAAAAATAGTAATCTAGTGACTGTGGGTGATTCTGCCTGCTAATGTGGGAACCTGTCTTCCATTGGGGGTGTCGGGGAGCCTCCAACAGAGTGAGGTCCCACCATGCTGCCAGCGGTCCTGGTGCTCAGACCAGGGCTTCTCCACCACGGCACTGCTGGCATTCGGGGCAAACGTGTCTGTGGTTGGGACAATCCCGTGCCTGTGGGATGTTCAGCTGCACCTCCAGCCTCACCTCCTAGATCCCAGAAGCACCTCTCTCCTAGCGGTCTCAACGGATGCTGCCAAAAGTCCCAGGGAGACCAAGCCCCTCCCTGGTTCAGAACCACTGTTTTTAATGTACACTCTTTGGGTTCACATAAAAGATAGCAACGGCAACTGGTGCTCTACAGGCGAAACGATCATCAGTGACACGTAACTCGGGGCAGGGCCTGGGACAGTAACAGGAATGACACTCCTGGATGAGCGGACTGAACACCTGGTACCTAGCACTGCACTTAAGGTAGGTTTCCAAGAGCAATTTAAAGATAAATAAATAAATACGTTCTTTAAAAAGACTAATTTTATGTGTGCTCAACTTTTGCTTTCTACGCTGACTTCAGACCCTTCACTTGTGGAAAAGCTATTCCACCCTCTTGTTCAGACCTTTCGACATATGGCTGAGCCTCCTGAATGCGTTAAGTCTTGGAGAAAGTGGCTTCAAGCAACATGGTAAAAATAGTGTTAAAGGTTAACCACCCTGAGCTTTATTCTTGGATGGGTTGTGAAAAGCTGTGCGACTTTAAGCCAGCCCCATCTGCCCTCTGGGCCTCATCTTCCTACAAATGAGGGAGTGGGGTAGGGGAGTGGGGTCCACACCCGAGTAGCAGGAATCCCAAGCCACCCGCTCAGCGTCCCCAAAGTGCAAGGCAAGCAGCCCATTCCTATCTGTTGAATTACACATCGGGTGCCATGAAGACCTTCCCTGGAAAAAGGGTTTCTATTGCCTTGAAATGTAATTTAAAAAAGTAAGACCACCAGGCAATGATTACTTGTTAGCAGTTTATGTCTCAGATGCCCTCCCATGGCCCATGGGGCCCGTCTGATTAGCCCCTGCCCATCTCTGCAACCTCCTATGCACTCTGCTCCAGCCACGCTGACCTCTTCAGTTCTTTGAACACTGCCACGCTGCTTCCTGCCACAGGGCCTGTGCACGTGCTGTACCCTCTGCCTAGAATACCACTTCCTGGGTCTCTGCAGGACCGGCTCACTCCATCTCATCATGGAGGTCTAAGTTCAAATGTTACCTCCTCAACGAGGGCTTCTCTGAGCCCCCTAACTCAGCAGTCGCCAACCTTTCAGACCTCATGGACCACCAGTTAGCAACCGCTGCCCTAAATCCTATTACCCCGCCTGCCCTCCCACTGGAAGTCATGCTTCCCGGGGGCTTATCGTCCCCACTGTCTACAACTGGCTGATGATTCTCCTGGCCGACCGTGAGGACAGCTGTCTGCTGCATCCCTAGTATCTAACGCAGGAGATACATGCTGAACAAATGAACAATTTACCGCTCCTAAGGTGATGGAGGGGGTCCTGACTTGACATGAATTTTTTTTCCATCGCTAAGAAGAAATAAATGTCAAATGGACCCACTTCAGGTCCGGATTTTAAACCACAGTTTTGGACAATGGGACTATCATAGTCTTCCTGCCTCCACGGCTGCGTCCGGGAGCCTGAGATGCTGGCGGACATACTGGAAGCTACATTCCATTAGAAACATATTTTGCCTAACAGAGGAGAAGCAAGCTGGTCTCTGAGAGTGAAATGTGTTTTGTGCCTGTGAACACATGCCCAAAATAGAGAACAGATGGGCTACACGAAACAAGAAAATGACTTTCGTTTAATTTTTTAATACTATTTTTAGCAGCGGCTTTGGACTCCTCGGGTAATTAGACAATTACTAAATTATTCTTGTCATGCAGGCGCGCACACCGCCCTGGCTTCCTGCTCTGTTAACCTCTGGTGTCAAGAGGACACGAGTTTCACTTCCAGGCCAGAGGGCACTGCATGGTAACGATAATTAGAGTAATGAATCAGAACTGCAGTTTAAACGAATCATTATTTGCCGAGTGCTTTTGACGAGAAAGACTTTAACTCCAACATGACACGGAGGCCCGTGGGTTTACAGGACGGCTCTCCCTCCGTGGGACAGACGCCGTCAGGAAGGCGGTTCCCTGCGTTCTGTGATGTCCGTCCCAGGCACGGACGCACGTCCTCGCGGCTGCCCACCTTCCTCAGCACCTGGACCAAATTATGATTGAGCGCGAGGGGCAAGAGCGAGACCTCTGACAGAGCAATTGCTTCGGCTGGCAAGTGTCAGTAACAGTGGGTTAGAAGGAAAGGCCGCGTGGAGGACCGCCACAAACCTTAGGATTCTGTAAGCAACCTGATTTCACGTCTCCCCCAGAAGACAAATCCTCCCACTGACATCCCAATGGGGGACAAGCCAGGCAGCCCCGGTCTCCGCAAGGACCCCACTTTCAGGACAGGGGACCATTTGACAACAAATCAGAAGACGAGGGTGCCCGGCCCCACCAGCAGGCGGCTGGTGTAAGTCTCCACGCTCACTGATTTCTCTCTGACATTAGCACGTATCCCCTTCCCTGCGACGACGGTGCTTCAGGGAGGAGGGGTCAAAACCACTGGTTCTGAAATTCTCTTAATTTTCAAGTAAAAGGCTCGTTCGCACACCAAATGGTGATCCACGTGTATCCTTAGACCCTGGTAATTACCAGGGGCTCTGCCAGTGTTAGTATTGGGCCCCGTCTTCAAACATCCTCACATTCCCCATATGGAAGAGTTTCACATTGTACAGTGTTTCTCTCTAGCCTCCTGCCCACAGGCCCTTTAACCTACACCCATTTCTTCTTACTTAAAAAATACCAGGGGAAAATCAAAACAGATGTGGACACAGAGGCAGGTTCCCAGTCTTGCTGCCCTGGGGGAACCACTGGTCCTCTTAGGGAGGGGAGAGAGAGGCCAGCGCCGCTCCCGCGAGGTCAGGAGTTGGGAGAGGAACCAAGACCTCCATGTGCAGAGGCCCTGGACGTGGGCCCTGGGGTGGGGTCCTCGCACCACCCAATGCTTCCGAGTCACCCTACAGCGTCCCACCCTCAATGAGACACGAGGATCCATGAGAAACAGGCCCCTGCTTCTCATTACTGACCCACGGCGGGGCCTTTCCCAACGAGAACTCCAGTTAGTGTGACAGGAAACAGCAGCACAAAAATTAAATACGGAGCCACCGTGGACATAAACGTTCTTTCTAAATGCAATTAAAACTTCACCACCACCTCATGGGCGTTCGTAATGTTAACGGACAGTGTGGACGGGTGGCAATAGGTAAAATCACACGATTGAGGAGAAGGAACTCCTGCTTCGATTGTCCCACCTCACTCCCTAAGTAAAGCCCAAAGCTGGTCATGCATCAGCCTCAAAGGGCACCCCCACAGAGGCAGGCTCGGGGCTGCTACTTCCAAATGAGCCCACGGAGTTACAGGTTGATTGATGGTGAGTAAGTACAGCATTCACTGTTGAACTGCAGACATCTTAGAGCACAGCAAAGGCAGCACATTTCAATTCTGTGACATCGAACCCGATAGCACAGAGGTTCTCAACTGGGGTGATTTGGGCTACCATCTGGCAATCTCTAGGGATATTGGGGTTGTCACCACTGGGGGCAGAGGAGGGAACGTGTACTACAAACAACCTGATGGTAGAGGGCAGAGATGCTGCTAAAATCCTAGAACGAAACACAGGACGGCCCTCACAACGCAGCCTTATCCAGCGCAATGTGCATTCCCGCAGCTGAAAACCACCTTAGGCCGTCGACACTAGGAAGCCAGGGCCAGGGAGTGGCAGACACCTAACTGCGCAGGCTGGGTCCCGTCCATTTAAAATGTCAGTACTGTTCATCGTGGATTTTCCCATGAATTTTGATTACTGAGGCTTGGGGGGGGGGGGGCATCCCATTAAGCTTTGCTCTCAAGGTGCATACCCCACTCTTCTTACCCTCGCTGTCCTGGTCCTATTGTAAAACCATCCTGTCTAATAAAAGAGAAACATGGTAATTGGCATACGACCGCGACCCTTCCCATTGGCTAATCAGGGCGATATGCAAATTAACTGCCAGCCAAGATGGCGGCCGGCAGCCAGGCAGCTTGAAACTAACATGAGGCCTGCTTGCTTCAGTGACGGAGGACTCCAACGTTCCCCGCCTGCCACTGCAGGCCTCTGAGCTGCAACTCTAAGCAACTATGTAACAAATATAGAAGCTAAACAAAACCCCAGAAACCTGCTTTAGTCGCCAGCAGGATCGCAACATTGTAAGCAAAGGCCAGAAACCTACTTTCAGCAGCGGAGGCCTAAGAGCTGGAGCCAAGCCTCAAAGCTAAAGCTGGCCCAGAATAAAAAAGAAAAAAGAAAAAAAAGGAGCGGTTGGGAGCTTCAGTCACCACCAGCCTGAAAACAGCCCTCAGCCCCTCACCCAGACTGGCCAGGCACCCCAGTGGGGACCCCCACCCTGAAGGGTGTGTGACCAGCTGCAAAGAGCCATCATCCCCTCACCCAGGCTGGCCAGGCACCCCAGTGGGGACCCCCACCCTGATCCAGGACACCCTTCAGGGCAAACCAACCGGCACCCACCCATGCACCAGGCCTCTACCCTATATAGTAAAAGGGTAATATGCCTCCCAGCACCGGGATCAGCGGAGCCGCGAGGCCTCCCGGCACCGGGATCAGCATGACAGGGGGCAGTGCCCAAACCCCCTGATCGCCCTGCGGCTCTGTGTGTGACGGGGCGGGGCCACAACCTCCCTATCCACCCTGCTCTGTTCGTGACAAGGGAAGGCGCCCCAACCCCCTGATCAGCCCTGCTCTGTGCCTGATAGGGGGGAGCTCCCCAACCCCCTGATCGGCCTGCGGCTCTGTGTGTGACAGGGTGCGGCGCCCCAACCCCCCACCCTCCCCCTACGGGCCCTGCTCTGTGTGTGACAGGGTAGAGGCATAACCTCCCCATCGGCCCTGCCCTGAGTGTGAGAGTGGCAGCGCCCCAACCCCCTGATCAGCCCTGCTCTGTGGGTGATAGAGGGCGGAGCCCCAACCCCCCTGATGGGCCCTGCTCTGTGAGTGACAGGGGGAAGTGCCCTAACCCCCTGATTGGCCCTGCCCTGTGCGTGACAGGGGGTGGCACCGCAACCTCCCCATCGACCCTGCTCTGTGCGTGACAGGGTACAGAGCCCCAACCCCCCTGATGGGCCCTGCTCTGTGAGTGACAGGGGGCAGTGCCCCAACCCCCTGATTGGCCCTGCTCTGTGCATGACAGGGGCTGGCGCCGCAACCTCCCCATCGACCCTGCCTTGAGTGTGACAGGGGACGGTGCCCCAACCCCCCAATCGGCCCTACCCTGAGTGTGACTGAGGGTGGCATCACAACCTCCCGATCGCCCTGCTCTGTGTATGACAGGGGGCGGTGCCCCAACTCCCCAATCGGCCCTGCTCTGAGCCCGACCAGGGGCTGCACCTAGGGATTGGGCCTGCCCTCTGCCACCCGGGAGCAGGCCTAAGCCAGCAGGGCGTTATCTCCCGAGGGGTCCCAGACTGCGAGAGGGCACAGGCTGGGCTGAGGGACCTCCTCTCCCCCCTGAGTGCACAAATTTTTGTGCACCGGGCCTCTAGTTAAAATTATGAGACTCACTGACAGGAGTGAAAACAGGAAGTTGGGTAGTGTTATTCTAACAGTGGTTCTTAACCAGAAATGCTTCTCAAAATAACCAGTAAACACTTTAATAATTTTAAGAAATAGAGATGTTTGGGGCCCCCACACCTAAAGAATGCAAGAGGTTCTAGGCATATATATATATACATATACACACACACATACATACATACACACACACACACACGTATACATACATGCTCGGGTTCATGGCACAGGTTCTCAAACTGCTGCAGTTTGGAACCACCTGGTCCCCCTGCTGAGACTGGGTCTAGAGATTCTGACGGTCCCACGTGGCCTGACCGTGGCGTTCCAAACACCGTGCTTTACAAAACACTGTTACAAAGCCCTAGTCATAACTCCAGAGGTCAGGGGAATGATGGCATGGGCTCCAGGGACTCTTTCTCGGGTGCTCATGGGTCCATAACTCAGTCACTGACTAAAAAGAATCGTATTGCAAATTAACAGAGAGCTGAGTTTTACGGCATGCAAGGTATGCCTCAATAAAGCTGTGAAAAAGAAGACACAGGAAAGCCTTCATACCTCTCACCACGGAAGTATTCATGCGTTTACTGCAGGATTTTTAGATGTCATGAGAGAAGGAGGAACATGCACATTGGCAAGGAGGGAGGGAGGCGGGGGTGGGGGGTTGGGGGCGGGCACTATAATTCTGAGCTCACACCAACCTTGAGATGACCTAACCCTTCAACACTTAGCTATTTTAAACCCAAGGCCAGGATATGGACAAATCCATTTTTGAGCTTCTCCTAAGGAAGGGTTAGGAGTTAAAGTGCAAGGTCAGAAATATTGTTTTCTGACTTTCAACACTTTCCAAAGAGTGTTATCTGTACTAAACCAAAAACAGACCATAAAAGCTGAACTGCACAGATAACTGAGAAGGCACGGCTTCTGTAAGTTCCACAGGCTCTTAAAGTCCCCAAAACGGGCTGGGGGTCACACCACGACCAGAAGGCTGGCTCATAGAGTCATCGGCGGGCCCGCATGGCTGAGAAGGGGCCGAGGGGTGCTCAGCCCGGCACCAGCAAGCGTGGCGGAAGTCTCGGTCCCCGAGAGGGAGCCGCACAGCACAGGGTGATCACTCGGCATTAAGAGTTACATCTCAATATAGGTGTTCATCCACGTAAAGAACCGATCGGGGTATCGGAAGGTAAAGCGACACTGGTTTGGCTCAGTGGATAGACCGTCAGCCTGCAGACTGAAGAGTCCTGGGTTTGATTCCGGTCAAGGGCATGTGCCTGGGTTACTGCTCAATCCCCAGTAGGGGGCCTGCAGGAGGCAGCTGACCAATGATTTTCTCTCATCATTGATGTTTCTATCTCTCTCTCCCTCTCCCTTCCTCTCTGAAATAAATAAAAAATATATTTTTTAAAAAAGAAGGAAAGGGAAAGCGTTACCTGGGTGTAGATGCTGAAGATGTGGCTCTGCACTTCGTCCATGGAGTCGAGGCCGTAGGCCACTGTGCCCAGATGGAGCCGCTTGAAAACCATCTCATTCTGGGTAAGAGTTCCTGAAACACAGGCAAACGAGTAACTGGTCCGACATCCAGGAGCTTTTATCAGTCCGAGCAGTAGTGCCAGCTGCTATTTTTGAGTGTTTACTACACGTCATACACTGGTTTTAGCTCCGCCCCTGCTTTTGCTGTGCTGTTTTGCTGGCCTGGAATCCAACTCCCTTTCTTTTGAAAATGGCATCCAAGGTTTCCACGGGGAAACCACCCCCCTCGTTTCCTGGGATGGTCCACAGGGACTGCCAATCAGGGTGCCTGTCTCACTTCACTGGCCAAGAGGGTGGCACATGACGTACACCAGTCCAATCAGATTCTATTCTGAAGGCGCCTAAACCGTGAGCAGGCAGAGGCGTGGGCGGAAGATGAGTGGAGTCCGGCCACCCAGTGGCAGACCCTACAGAGGCGACCCAGGGGTCCTGATGCTGACACCTCCGGGACTTCCCCAGCTCCTCTCCTCCCCAAAACCCAGTTTCTCTGATGGAGTGAGCCACTCCAACCTCTGCAGCAGATTCCCTTTGATCCCGTGGGCACTGAGAGGTAGAGAGGAAGCTTAAACCCACATCTCCCCTCTCCCAGCCCTCGCTCTTCACCACTAGGACATTGAACAGCAGAGCGGGAATCTGGGGTGTGGTTACGAGGCCAGGACTCCAAGTCAGACTGCCTGGGCTCAAAGTCTACTTCCGCCCCCATGTGCTCTGACAAGTCACTTAACTTGGGTTTCATTTGTTCACCTGCAAAAATACAAGGTTAGGATGAGGAATAACTAACTACATATAAACATGTAAACACCCAAAACTTAAGAAGTATGTGTAGAGCTCTGTTGCTATTATCGTCATCCCATCACAAATACTCAGTCTTCATCAGAAGATGAAGGAAATCAAGATTAGCAGGAGGCTCCGGCACCTCTCTCGCCTGCACCCTGGGCAGGAGGCTCACCTGTCTTGTCCGTGAGCAGGTAAGAGATCCTCCCCAGCTGCTCAGGGATCGTGCTGGAGCGAACCACCGTGCCCGGGATTTTCGAATCCCTTCGAATCACCCAGCTGTACACGATCTTGCCCATGTCCAGGTTCACACGCAAACTGGCCAGGGAAACAGAGCCGACGTTAACAGGATGCACGCAAGGCCCTTGTGTCTCTTTTGCAAACAGCAAGGACTCCGACTACTCATCCTTTGTGCCACCGCATCTGGAGTCACTCCCCACAGAAGCCACTGCTGGGGCTCAATCCCCAGATACAACAGGAGTCAACACCACCATCAGATTACAAGAAGCTATTCTATCATGGACCAAGGTCACTTTAAATACCGAAAGGGTAGTTGTTTTGGTTTTACTTTTTTTTTTTTTAATTACTGATCCTCTGAACTAATAGACTTTTGATACTCTAGTCATTTTTTAAAATTGTGGTAAAATATACACAACGTTTAAACCAGTTTAAGTGGACAGTTCTGTGGCATTGAGCACTTTCACACGGTTGTGCAGCACCAGCACCAGCACCATCCATGCCCACAACTTTTTCATCTTCCCAGACTGAAATTCCCACCCATTAAGCAATAATCCCCCACTACCCCCTCGCCCTGGAAACCACCATTCTACTTTCTGTTTCTAGGACTTTCTTTCAGGGTACCTCACATAAGGGGAATCATACAGTATTTTTCCTTCTGTGACTAGTTTATTTCACGCAGCACATCTTCAGGGTTCATCTATGTTGCAGCAGGTCAGAATTTCCTTGCTTTTTAAGGCTAAATAATATTCCATTGTGTGTATTCTGTTCACTTAAAAATAATTTATGGCAAAAGAAAAATTTTTAAAAATCTTCAAATTCACTCATAGTCCTTTAAACTAACCAAACTGCTCACTATTTTACTGGCCACCTGGCCATATGAAGATTCACTTCAGTAATTTTCAATCATGTTGTAGATAGAACTTTAAAGACCACAATTTTACTTAACATTACACCACAAACACTTTTTTGCTGGAAACAAGGTAGACTTGTTATTCTTGAAACCATTACCCAGAGCACCTTGGTGAGGGGTTCGATCCCCCTGTACTGGTCACGCTGTTGTACCACAACTACAATCTTGTCCTCAAAGAAAGACAAATTCTAGCTAGGATGATATAATTACGCAAAAGGAAAGACAATATAGCAAGTGTAAAATAGAGATGAGAAGCACTAAAAGTTTCAGGGGAAAGATATGGCCTGCTTTAATAATTATCTACTGATCGCCCTGGCAGGGTAGCTCAGTTGGTTAGAGCGTCATCCCCATACGCCAAGGTTACGGGTTCGATCCTCAGTCAGGGCACATACAAGAATCAACCACTGGGGTACATCTACACGATGGAATACTACGCTGCTGTAAGAAAGAAAGAACTCTATCATTCGCAACAGCATGGATGGACATGGAGAGCATTATGCTGAGTGAAATAAGTCAGTCGGAGAAAGATAAATATCACATGATCTCACTCATTTGTGAAATATAATGAACAACATAAACTGATGAACAAAAACAGGACCAGAGACAGAGAAGCATCGAACAGACCATCAAACCTCAGAGGGAAGGCAGGGGAGGGAAGAGATCAACCAAAGGACTTGTATGCTTGCATATAAGCATAACCAATGGACACAGACTTTAGGGGTGTGAGCACATGTGCTGGGGTATGGAGGTGGCCAGGGAGAGGTCAACGGGGGAAAAAGGAGACATATGTAATACTATATGTAATACTTTAAATAATAAAGACGAATCAACCAATGAGCCCTGGCCAGTGTCTCAGTGGTTAGAGCGTCAGCCCATGCACCGAAGGGTCTCGGGTTTGATTCCCGGTTAAGGGCACAGGCACATACCTGGGTTGCAGGTTCGATCCCCAGCCCTGGACAGGGAGTATGGGGGAGACAACCAATCAATGTGTCTCTCTCACATTGATGTTTCTTTCTTTCCCTCTCTTCCTCCATTCCTCTCTCCTTCACTCCCTTCCACTCTCTAAAAATCAATGGAAAAAATATCCAAATATCCTGAGGATTAACAAAACAACAAAAAGAAGAATCAACCAATTAATGTATAAACAAGTGGAACAACAAATCAATGTTTCTCTCTCTCTCTCTCTCTCTCTCTCTCAAATCAATCAATAAAAAATTATTTTTACTGATCATTTACTATGGAAAAAGTAGAAACAAATATCCAATAATAGGGGAACAGAGTAAATTGTTAAACCCAGAATATGTACTAGGGTAGTTGTAAAAAAGCATGGGTTTCCAAGTATATTTGATGTGAGAAGTTACTTGCAGCACACTGCTGTTAAAAAGGGGGGACAGACTTTGTGTAGAGCAGAGTCTCTTTTTCCTAAAATAGAAAGCGCTCTGTAAAAAGATACATCCCAAAATATTAACAGCAATTATCATTCAGTTGTGAGATTAGAAGTGACTTTTATTTTAATCTTTTGCTACTGTGAATCTTTGTTTTTTTCCTACTGTGATAATGTATTACTGGTATCATTTTTAAACCATTTATTCAGGCTCCAAATGAGGAAAGCAGACAATTGGCCTGTACCATCCAGCTTCCATTGCTAATCAATCTCAAAATTATCTCCTGCTGAGCCCAGACTCAGGCTCAGAGTCCTTCTCCACACAGACACCACCAACACCTTGGAGCTGGCAGGTGAGATGAACTCTAACTGGCTTCCCTATCACAGACTGGGAAAGGCAAGATCTTTTGAGCAGAAAGTCCCTTAAGAAAAGATGGATCAGCCCTGGCTGGTGTGGCTCAGCTGCTTGAGCATCGTCCCGTCCACCAAGAGGTCACCTGTTCGATTCCCGGTCACAGCGCATGCCCAGGCTGTGGGTTCGTTCCCCAGTAGGGGGCGTTCAGAGGCAGCAGATCGATGTTTCTCTCACATCGATATTTCTCTCCCCCCACTTCCTCTCTCTCTAAAATCAATAAAAACATATTTTTTTAAAAAAGAAAAAGGATGGGTCCTGGAGCATGCACCCTTCCAATGCTACCGCCACAGACCAGGGCTCAGACTCTGGAGGATCCTGACTGTTCTTGGTCATCACTCAGCCAAGGGCCCAGCTGGTAAAGAGAAGAAATATCATGGCACCCAGATGCAAGCTCATTCTCTGCTCACCTGATGGGAATGATGTTGGAAAACAGGAGGAGGAAGCGGATGATCTGCAGGTACCAGCGTCCAGCGAAGTGCTGAAGGGCCACCATGACCAGTGACACCACCACCAGAGCACCAAAGAGGATCTTCGTGAGACAGTTCACTTCCAGGTCAAACAGGCCAATCTGGGGACAAGGCACAAAGGGGGGCTCAGGATCAGCTGGTGCAACCCACAGCCATGAACCCCTGCACCCAGGGGGGACACTGGGACCCTTCCGCACCCACAGCTTTGGCTGAAAACACTGGGCACCCTGGGCTGTAGTCCATAACAGGCATCTCAGGGACCTCGGAGGTTTCTGCTTTCAGCGTTTTTCAGACTTAAGATTCAGGCTTGGAAACACATACGCAGGTTATTGCCGCGCTTGGTGGGGCTGCACACTGCATGGTCTCCACCATCCCACACAGCGGCCTGTAAAATGACTGTCTACACTCCCAGCATCGTCCCACACACTGAGTCAGATGTGCCTGCAAGTTTGGGGCACACACCTCTGGTGGCACCTGATTTTCAGGTGCTGCATTAATTAATATTGTTTAATTATTACGTATTTATTTCAGTGTATTTTGTCAATGTAACTAGCAAAACAGACCCATAACTTCACTGAAATATGGCCTAAGAGGAGACAAAAACATCAAATACATGTCATTTACAGTTGTAATGGGGGGAAGGGTGAAAATGACTGGAGTTTGGGAAACAGCAATTGTTCATGGAATTGACAAAGGAAATCATTCTGCAATATTCTAACTTAAAGATTGGAGGAGGGGTGGGGCTGGGAGGGAGGGTCACGGAGGGAAACGAGCACGAACAGAGCAGACAGCAGATCTGACCCTGTCTGCCGTCAGTGGAGTTTGACGGGACCTGCCCCCGGGGCACAGTGCACACGGGCACAGCATGGCAGGTGCGAGGCCACTTCTCCTCCAGGAGGTGAGGCCAGGGAAGACCTGCTCAGAGGCGGGCATAAGGATGAGATGAGATGAGACGCGTGTGAAGGACACCGCATAACACAGCAAACAACAGTTTGCTTTAAGTTAAAAGGTTTTAAAATGTGATGTATTAAAAAATGGGAATACACCCTGACCAGTGTGGCTCAGTGGTAGAGCGTCAGCTCACACATTGAAGCGTCTCTGGTAGGATTCCCAGTCAAGGACATGTACCTGGGTTGCAGGTTCATTCCCCAGCCCTAGGTCAGGGTGCATGAGGGAGGCAATCAATCATGTTTCTCTGTCTCCCCCTCCCTCCCTTTCACTCTCTAAAAATGAATGGAAAAAAATATCCTCAGGTGAGGATTAACAACAAAAAAAGAAGGGGAATTTTAAAATGTTCTGGTCATAAAAAAATTTTTTTAATTTAAAAAATAAAAAATAGGTGTTTAATTTTATGTATTTGTATATATATAAATAGCTACTTATGTATTATATGTGTGCATATCTACATATATGTATATATACCTACAGATCTACACTAATAAAAGAGAAACATGCAAATTGGTGCCACTCCGCTACACCCATCATCCAATCAGGATGAGTATGCAAATTAACCCAACAAAGATGGTGGTTAATTTGCACATGCAGGTCTGGAGCCTAAAGGCTCCGCCCGAGCGAAGACTGAAGACTGAAGACGACTGAAGACTGAAGAGGCTTGGCTTCTCCGCTGTGGCCTAAGTGAAGGCTGGGGCTTGGGTGCCAGAGGAAGAGCGGTGCTGGCAGCCAGGGGAAGGCAGGCCTATGGCACGAATCTCTTCATGCAATGGGGCTCTAGTATATATATATGAAAAGATAGTAGGTTTGTATAAATGAGATAATACTGTCAGGAGTTCCAGCTTTTAACTCTAGCTCCTCACCCCCAACACCAATCATCAAAGTCCATCAAGTCGAAAGGTCTGACAAGGAGACGCTTCTCGTGACTGCACACACCTTACTTCGAGGATTTGAGGTATTCATGACACTCCGGAGTTCTCTGCCCGTGTAAAGAACAACACCCACAACAGTTCCTAGAACAGAAAAACATGACACAAAGAACTGTTAGTGTGGACAGACGGGCTTACGAACACCAGAGCCTGGGCTGCCTGCGAGAACATCTTCTAAATCCCACACCCACACGGGGAGAGTGTCAGTGTGTTCACGTCGGGGCCAGCCAATGACCCATGGCCACAATGACCAGCATGGAAGCTGCTAGCCACGGGCAGCAATCTAAATTCAATTAAAATGAAATCAAATAGGCAGGGGAACCAAAATGGTGGTGCAGGCAGTGGCTAGCTTTGCACCTCCCTGGAGACCCAAGAGTCAGTGCACCCAGTGGACAGCTTCAGACCATACCAGATTACAACACTACACATCCACAAGCAACACACTCAACAGGCAGACTCAGTGAGCACCATAGCCCCACTGAAACAAGTCCAGCTCCATAGGGGTGTTCCCGCACAGCAGCCTCCCACTACAGTCGCAGCTGGTTCTCACAGCCAATAGGCCTGGAGGTCAATTCCTCCCAGTGACACCAACAGCAATCAAGGCTCAACTACAACAAGGCTGTGCACACAGCCCACAAAGGGACACACCTAGAGTGCCCAGCTCAGGTGACTGGGGAGGCTGAGCCACTGGGCCCTACAGGACACCTATTACACAAGGCCACCCTATCCACTCCAGGAGACAAAGCAGTTACCCAATACACAGAAACAAACACAGGGAAGCAGCCAAATTTTGGAGACAAAGAAACATGTCACAAATGGAAAAAAGTGAACTACTGGATACAGAGTTCAAAACCATAGTTACAAGATTACTCAAGGATCCTCAAGGGACTTAGTGAGACTTTCAAGGATCTTGGTAAGAATGCCAAAAACATGGACAAGGACCAGTCAGAAATTAAGCATACACTAACTGAAATAAAGAATAACTTACAGGGATTCAACAGTAGAGGAGAGGATTCTGAGAATCAAAACAACGATTTGAAATATGAGGAAGCAAAAACACCCAATCAGAAGAGCAAAAAGAAAAAAGAATTCTAAAATATGAGATAGTATAAGGAGCCTCTGGGACAACTTCAAGAAAACCAACATTTCAATCATGGAGGTGCCAGAAGGAGAAGAGAGAGAAAGCAAGAATTTGAAAACCTGTTTGAAGAAATAATGACAGAAAACTTCCCCTACTGGGTGAAATAAATAGACTTACAAGTCCAGGAAGCACAGAAAGTCCCAAACAAGAAGAACCCAAAGAGGACCACACCAAGACACATAATTAAAATGCCAAGGGCTAAAGACAAAGAGAGAATCTTAAAAGCATCAAGAGAAAGACAGTCAGTTACCTACAAGGGAGTACCCATATGACTATCAGCTGATTTCTCAACAGAAACTATGCAGGCCAGAAGGGAGTGGCAAAAAATATTCAAAGTGATGAATAGCAAGAACCTACAACCAAGATTACTCTACCCAGCAAAGCTATCATTTAGAATTGAAGGTCAGATAAAGAGCGTCACAGACAAGAAAAAGTTAAAGAAGTTCATCACCACCAAACCAGTATTACATGAAATATTGAAGGGTATTATTTAAGAAGAGGAAGAAGAAGAAGCAAAGGAACAAAAATATGAACAATAAAGCGGCAACAAAGACATATCTATCAAAAATTGAATCTAAAAATCAAAATAAACGAATAAGGAATCTAATGAACAGAATAAACTGGTGAATAAAATAGAATCAGAGGCATGGAAATGGAACAGATTGAAGATTCTCAGAGGGAAGGGGTTCAGGAGTTATCTTATATGTATATATGCACAGACAATACGGTGGTGAAGACCCTGGCCTGCGTGGCTCAGTGGCTGAGTGCACACCTATGAACCAGGAGGTCTTGGTTCGATTCCCAGTCAGGGCACATGCCTGGGTTGCGGGCTCGATCCCCAGTAGGGGGTGTGCAGGAGGCAGCCAATCAGTGATCCTCTCCACTGGAAAAAGCAAACACCTAACCTTCTCTCCTCGGAAAAATACTGGCGGAGGAATGTACAAAACTCGGAGACTCAAGCACAGCCTCAGGGAAAGAGCTGACCCAGATGCAGTGCGGGGCCGTGTCTCCTGGAGGCACAGAAGTCCCTCAGTTTAGCGCACAGTGTTCTGCACGAGGCGGTTCCGGGCAGGGAGGCTGCCAGCAGATGGCAGGCTGGGGAGCTCGCTGGCCGCTCCCAGCAGGTGGCAGGCTCCCAGGCACACTGGTGCGGCCACAGCAGATGGTGGGCAGTGGGAGTCGAGCCTGGGCTGAGCTCACTTGCTCCACGCTGGCCTTGATGTTCAAAGTCCAGGTGCATGAGGTTTCACAGGAAATGCACACTCCCCTGTTTCCTCCGCCTCTCCTGTAGCCCGTGTTCATATCAGAGGCTCCCCAAGGGAGAGTCCCCCACGGGCACCAGCCAACCTCAGTGCCTGATGCTGCTGAAATGGCCTTCCCCCCAACACCTCCCTGTGCTCAAGACCAAAACCGTCACCACCAGATCCGAACCGGCCTCACCGCCCAGACAGCGCGCACACGCCGGCCGCAGCGGGGCGCTGGCTTGGTCTGCACAGCGCTTTACGGTGTTGAATTCGCTGGCTGCTTTTCATGCCGGGAGCTTTCATTTAACAATGGAGACCTCTGGCTTCTCCTGGAAAACTGGAAGATCTGGTGAGGCTGGGTCCACGTTCCTCATGCGACCCAGGCCTCGGACCCCGCCCCCCATGCTGTCCCCTCTGCTGTCCCTCACCCTCTGCAGCCCGCAGACCAGAAATCCTCTCCATCCTGCCAGCTGGCCCCCAGCCGCTTTCTCCAAGGAGCCAGGCTGCCGTGGTCGGCATTTCATGAAGTTCCTCCTAACCCCACACAGCAGTGTGGTCCCAGGTCAGGCCTCACTGCGGCCCCTTTGTTCCCTGTCAGCAACAAGATAAACGCTGAGCCCCAGAGAGCCAGCGTTCAGAAATGTTTATGGCAATCAGGCACCCTCTGACGCCGAGCGTGCGGTCACAGGACAAGCCCCGCTGAGCAGGGGACGTTATCAAACTCGGGTGGCCAGGTGCACGTGGCGTGACCTGCCCGCTGGTCACACCCAGCAGGACACTGATCCATCCGCTACAGATTTCCGGGGGGTTGGGGGGGAGACTAACAAACTGGTCCCTCACCACTGAGTCCTGGAAGAACTGGACTAGAACACCTGGGCTCTGTCACATCCAGGCCACCTTCTCTGCCAAGCCTCCCCCTGCCCTTCCCTCTTACCTCCCTGGTGACTCCTCACCCAGCAGCACTGTGTTGAGTTACCATGGCAATTGCATCGATGCTGGACCCCCAGCATCTACACTAGCAAGCTTTATTTTTATTTTTTTAAGAGAAAGGGGAAGCCCAGACAGTGTAGCTCAGTGGTTGCGTTTCGACCAGGAGGTCATGGTTTAATTCCTGGTTAGGGCACGTGCTGGGATTGTGGGCTCATCCCCAGTGGGGGGCATGCATGAGGCAGCTGAGTAATGATTTTTTTCTCTCATCATTGATGTTTCTATTTCTCTCTCTCCCTCTCCCTTTCTCTCTCTGAAATCAATAAAAACATCTTTTAAAGAAAAGAGAGCCGAAACCGGTTTGGCTCAGTGGATAGAGCGTCAGCCTGCGGACTGAAGGGTCCCAGGTTCGATTCCGGTCAAGGGCATGTACCTGGGTTGCGGGCACATCCCCGGTGGGGGATGTGCAGGAGGCGGCTGGTCAATGTTTCTCTCTCATCGATGTTTCTGACTCTCTATCTCTCTCCCTTCCTCTCTGTAAAAAATCAATAAAAAATATGTTTAAAAAAAAAAAAAGAAAAGAAAAGAAAAGAGAGAGGAGAGAGGGAAGAATGGAGAGGGAGAGGGAGAGAGAGAAACCTCAATATGAGAGCAAACAATGATCAGCCGCCGCCTGCACGCCCCCATTCGGGGATCGAGCCACAGCCCAGGCATGTGCCCTGACGGGGAGTTGAATCGGCAACCTTTCCCTGCACAGGATGATGCCCAGCCAAATGAGCCGCACCAACCAGGGGAAGCTTTGTTATTTTTTAAACTTCCAACTAATAAGAGCGGAGTGACCACGACACAGGAGTTAGATTCTAAAGGGAACACAGAGGCCACATGTCATACGGGTAAGGTTACTCTTGGTGGCCGTGGCTTGAGTTGAGCACCAGAAGGAAACGGCTTGTGTTTCACTCCGTGTTTGCATTAGAATCAGATGCAGTGAGAAGTCAGGGAAACTGAGGCCAGCTGCAGACATGCTGGGTGCCCAGCTCCTGACTCACTCCAAAGCATACACCCGCTGAAGGCGATGGTAGGCAATGCCACTGGAGCCCTGGAGCCCTGCTCTCTCTTCCCACATCACCAAGCACAGCAATTAATTCAAACAACCGAAAAAATGCATGTACCGACTCCACAATGCATTTCCCATGAACTGCTGTGAAATCTCTTCCCCATCTTCAAGATCCCAATTCGCCTTCCACTCTCCTCCTCCTAAGAGATGACTGCTCCAAGGCTGTGTGACCTTAGGCACGTTGCTTAACCTCTCTGAGTCTCCATTCTGCATTCCATTAAATGTCCTCGTTTTTATGAGATGAAACCAAAACAAGAGAATGGCAGCAAAGCAATGGAGCGTGGCATGACTGAATATAGATGTTCAATCAAGGTTTGCTTCACAGGAAGAAGGAAAGCAGGAAGGAAGGAGAGACAATCACCAGAATGAAAACCAAACAGACACAGGCACAGGTACTTGTCACTAAAATATTAATGTTATCAAATCAAGTGCAGAATTAAGCACATTGAGGTTACTAGAAGCCAAGGCGTGGCCAGGCAGTGGCCGTGCAGAATTGTAAGGACCAATTTCTCACTCCTTTAGTCATCAGGGGAACTGAGAGACAGCCAGATGACGCTGCCAATCCACACAGCCAGGGGAGAAGAAACCTGGCAAGAACCCCAGGGACAGCTCATCTCTGTGGAGAGAGATGCCAGGCGGCCTGGGCTCTCACTTGTGCCAGTCCCTCCCTCCCCTTGTCATAGAGCAAGCATGTCAAACTCGCGGCCCACGGGCTGCATGCCTCATTTGTTTGGCCCGTGTTAGCCTTTGAGTTTGACATGCTTGTCATAGAGTATCTGGATTGAGCGTCTGCTCTCCTATGAGCCACAGAGAACCAACAAGCAGAGGAAAAAGGGTTGATAGGAGGGAGATATCACTCCTGAAGAGGGGAAAGAAATGGATTCCTCCAATAATAAAGACAGAGAGTTGCCAGCAGCAGAATTACATGTTATTAGTATAAGTTATTATATACTAACAGCGGCTGGTACAATGAGTTCTGCTTCTCAAGCAAAGTGCTTGGGTTCAAGTCCCAACTCACCTTTCCCCTGCTGGGTGACCCTGGGCAAGTTACTTAACCCCACAGAGCCTGTTTCCTCATCTGCAGAATGGGGACAACACTAGCACCTACCTTCGTGGCACCTTTGGGAGGGTCAAGTGAAATGTGTAAAGGGCTCGTCACACTGCATGAGAGACGGGCGGGACCCCACAGATATCAACAGGGCTGCTGCAGGCCAGGCTCAACCCCTGGGCCCCTCCTGTTCAGTTGCCCCCATGCTCAAAACTGAAAGGCACGGATTTCTGCATCACCTCGGTGTTTTCAATGTTGAGGCTCCGCCCTTTCCTGTGCACGGAGCCCCTTACCCACAGGACCAGCAGCCTCACAGACACGACCTGCAGCCCAACGTGCAGGCTGAGCCAACCTCTGGGACAGATTAGAACGTCCATCTGCAGCAGCAATTAAGGGCTATTCGCGAAGTGGGCGCTGCAGAGAGTCCTCAGGCCAGAGCGGCTTCTCCGCTTGGCTCTCTAAGCGTCTGAGGGGCAATTAGATGCCAGCAGGATCCCCTGGAGGTGCTGGGACAAGTGGAAAACACCATTTGACCGCGGACTAATTTTCCCAACTGACAGACGATTATTCTAATTACTCAGGAGGATTTTCTTCCCTCTTCAAATTGCTACCACATTCCCGGGAGAGGGCAGGGCGCCTCACCTGAGGCGATGACGGTGCCCGCCCAGAGCGCGTTCTCGATGCTCAGGCTCTCGCTGATCGAAGGGTCGCTGTCCTCCTGCAAGAGGCCAGACAGACACACACTTATCAGCGAGGCTTCTTGTTGTTGGTTTTCGTGGGGGTTCTTGTTAATCCTCACTCAGGATATTTTTTACATTGATTTTTAGAGAGTAAAAGAGAGGTAGGGAGAGGGAGAGAGAAAGAGAGTGAGAGAGAAATATCTATATGAGAGAGACATGTTGATTGGTTGCCTCCGGCAAGTGCTCCGACAGGGGGTGGGGATCAAATCTGCAACCCAGGTACATACCCTTGACCGTGAATCGAACCCACAACTCTTGGGAGTGCAGGCCAATGCTCTAACCACTGAGAAATACCGGCCAGGGCTATGGAGCGAGGTTTTGAAAAAACCCACAAGACAGGTAGAGACGGGCGACCCCTGGTGAGAAGCCCACAGCTCAGCCTGGAGAGAGGGCTACCCTCATCGACTACTGTCCGTGGGGCGTCCACCCCCATGGAAATACCTGGAAAGGCTGGCTCCTGACTTAAGGACAAGCCTGGAACACGGACGGAGTGTTTTTAAGGTGAGAGCTAACAATCAAACAGGGCAGTCGTGTGGCTCATAGAAAGACAACACGAACAGTTTAATTTGGGGTCTATAACCCTCCTGTCCCAGATTCCTAAAGTAACTTAAATCCAAATTTAATTTCTATTCCGAAGAGTTGAGAAGTGACTTAAAAAGTATTAACTGCCCAGCCTGGCCAGTGTGTCATCTACCTATGATTCCCGGTCAGGGCACGTGCTCAGGTTTCGGCTCGATCCCCAGTGCGGGGTGTGCAGGAGGCAGCCAATCAATGATTACCTCGCATCATTGATGTTTCTCTCTCTCTCTCCCTCTCCCTTCCTTCTCTGAAATCAATAAAAACTTTTTTTTTAAGTATAACTGCCCTGGCCAGTTTTGTTCAGTTGATAGAGCGTCAGTGGATAGAACCCCTCAGACTGAAGGGTTCTGAGTTCAAATCCAGACAAAGGCACGTACAGTAGGGCCTTGACTTTTGAGTGTCCCGACTAACGAGATTTTCAAGATACAAGCCGTCTCTCGGCCGATTTTTTGCTTTGAATTGAGAGCTAAAATTCGGGTAACGAGCCAGCTTCAGATACCCCACCACTAGTTGGCACAGCGAACATCACAGTGAAAGCCACAACATCAGCCCAGCATCCCGTGTCTCACTCGTTCACTTTAATGATTTGACATACGAGTAATTTGAGTTACGAGCTCCGTCACGGAAAGAATTAAACTCGTAAGTCAAGGCCCCACTGTACCTCAGTTGCATGCTTGATCCCCAGCCCCAGTGGGTAGTGGGGGGGAGGCGCATGTAACCAATCAATGCCTCTCTCTCACATCGATGTTTCTATCTCTCTGTCTCTCCCCGTCCTTTCCACTCTCTCTAAAAATCAATAGGAAAATATCCTTGGGGGAGGATTAATCAAATATATGTAAACAACAGTGGTCCTGGCCAGGTGGCTCCGTCAGCTGGAGCATCATCCCATACACCGAAAGGTGGTGGGCGTTCACTTCCCAGTCTGGGTGCCTATGGGAGGCACCCAATCGATGTTTCTCTCTCACATTGAGATTTGTCGCTCTACCTTCCTCTCTCTCTCCAAAATTAAAAAAATAAATAAACATATCTTTGGGTGAGGATTAAAAAGTAAAAAGTATAACAATGGCAGGCAGGGCTTATCTAAACAGTAGAGGATGTCGTCCTGTCAGAGGGAGACAGAGTAACTTTGAGCATCGGCGTTAACATGAATTAGAACAGCGCGTGGCTAAAGTGTCAGGCAATCCCAGCTGTTCAGAGGCTGAAGAACCTGCGATGTGTGGCCTCTAGTGAGAGACAATGTGTCAGGAGTCAGGCGGTGCCTCCCTAAGGGAATTCCACCCCGCCAGCCCAACCCCTGCCCCCCTCCCCTTTCCATCCCTTCTCCCCTCTCCTCCCCCACCCACCCCCAAAGAGATACTTCCTGACAAGGACCCTCAGACGCGTGTCTGCGGGCTCCCATCGTGAATCCACACTCTAAGACGGGAGTCCGTGGCAAGCGGAGCTACGTACCCTGGTAAATGTTCCCACAAAATTGTGGATGTCGATGCTCGGCTCTTCCGCGTAGATATACGATCGAATCTGAAGAAGATCCTGCGTGACAGAGGTGACATTTGGGAGTTAGAAAAGGCGGCTTATGAGCAGAGAGACTTCCGGAGGCAGCCGCTCTTTCTCTAAAGCAAACAGGCCCTGAAATGATGGGGCAGGTGGGGAAAGGGGAAACCTTCCACACGTGTAGGTGTCTTCACAACTCCAGGCTCTCGACTCGCTCTTAAGGGGAGTCCTTCGATCATTCTGAGGGTCAGAACCTTTCTTTGCAGAAACTTTACCAGAAGGGAGACCACGCCATCCAGATAAAGTCAGAACCCCTATTAGACCAGCCCCGCCCAGGGTCGCCATGGCGCCTTCTACAGATTCCCAGGGGCTCCCGGCCAGGTAGAGACTCACGGCTCTAGAATTCCTGCTTTAAAAAGCAGTAATAATTAACAGCACCATTTCACTTGTTCCTGACGACGAACAATCATATGTACCATGGGCACGCTTACTGTTATGCTAACTCCACGGAGACAGAGAACTTCTTCCTTCCTTAGAGGGCAAGGAAAGGCATGGCACCAACCGATGTGACCGCCAGCCCAGGGAAAGCTGGCGTGTGCAGCTGAACCCTTTCAGACCACGCACGGGACCTATGCTGGTCTCCAGGCATTTGAATTACATTCTGTGGTTTTGTAACCTAGGCCACAGGCCACTTCCAACCCGTGTGACTTGTGTTTAAACTTACACTTTGGCTACCTTCTCCCTCCCTCACTCTACAAATTGTGGTGTGATATAGGGAACTACAGGGCCCTGGGAAGCTTTGAGCACCTGTTGGTTACAACTACTTAGACCACACCTTCTTAGAGAGAGTCCATGTGCTATTCCACACAGTTCTAAGTGCTGTTCCACACACCGGGCATACACTGTTCCATGCACTGTTCTAAATGCTGTTCCACACACTGTCTATATGCTGTTCCATGCACTGTTCTACATGTTCCTCCACACACTGTCTATATGCTGTTCCATGCACTGTTCTAAATGCTGTTCCATGTACCAGGAACTCAGCAGTGAATATACCGGGCAGAACCCTACCCTCAAAGATACCGTCTTGAAGTGAGTGGAGTGGGAATGCAGGGAGAAGGTGGCCAGAAAACGCCTCTCCGTTAAGGAGACGGGTGTACAAGACCTAAGTATACGATGGAGGTGCCCAGCCAGCAGACATCAGGGTCTGACTGTTCCCAGTGGAAGACACGGCCAAGGACAGATGCTGGGAGGCAGACGCATGCCTGACGGGGAGGCCAGTGCGGCTGCAGCGTGGGGAGAGGGGAGGGCCCGAAGTGGAGGTCAGGGCGTCCGCAGAGAGTATACGATGACACGGGGTTGAAAGGTGCCAGCGAGGCCTGTGGGACGGGTTCTCGGAGCTGAGAAGCCTCCGGAGTTCTGAGCAGAGGAGGACATGCTTGGCCTACCTTTACTTTTACCCTCGGTCCCGGTCACGGTTTCCTAAGGTTCTGCGCTCCCCTCGGAAGAGCTCCGTCCCGCATGCCGAGCCTGCATTTCGCGTGGCCACGGAACGTGGAACCAACCGGCACTCGAGGCTCCCAGGGCCCCAAAACACCCCACCGGCCACTTCACCTCTGACACCCATGCCTGGCCCGGAGGGCGCCCGAGTTTGCGAGCTCTGCCGGGACAGGGGCCATGTGTGCCTCTGCAGGGAGAGCTACTCACGGCGGCCGTGGGGAGCCTCTGCGTGCAGGCCACCGGGAGCCGCAGCTTCCAGTCCGTCTCCCCGTCCAGCTGATCCGTCCGCAGGAAGCAAGACCCTGTGAAGGAAGCCGGTGCCTTCTGTTCACCAGCAGCTCACGAAGCCTTTTGGTGGCCGCTCGGGGCAGCCCCCGCCCTGGTCCTTGTAAAAACAGCCAACAAATGGCCAACCACCAAGAGGGAAGGAAAATACCCCATTTCCCACTTCCTCCTTAAGCTCTAGGGTCAGAAAGATCTGGGTGCAAATGCCCCCTCCCCCACGCACTCGCAGTGGGAGCCGGGCCAGCTTCTCCACCTTGCTAACCTCGGCGTGTCCTCGCCATAAAGCGGGAGGAAACACACACCTCCCAAGCTTGCTGTCGGGACTCGGTGGTGACAGAAGCCCAGCGTGGGGGCGGCCTGAGAGAGCCCGCATTCGGGTCTGTTCTGGGCAGGGGTTACAAGCACCTTCTCAGGAGCCAGACCTCCTGGGCTCAAGTCCGGGCTCCAACACTCACTAGCTGCAGGTCCTCTCTGAGCCTCAGTTTCCCTTGAGTGTGAACATGGAGATGAACAGCACCGAGCTCAGACTGTGAAAGCTAAAGCGCTGGTCCATGCCACGCCGAGAGCGCCAGGTCGGTCGGCCGTAGTCACCGACGCGCACTCTGTGTGGGCGCGTATGTGGGTCTGACGTGCAAGTCCAAGCCACAGGTCGGCCGTGTCTCTCATCACACAGAGAGGGCGCGGAACTCGCCAGCGCTGCAGCGAAGGCTCCTGGGAACTTCCTATCTTTTGGGGGGCTGGGGTGTTTTAGAAAGGGAGAGCCCTTCAGGGAACCTAATCCCCAACACTCATGGGCCAGGACACAGAACCGATTTGAGGACAAAGCCGCAGTTTTTAAAAGAAGGCTGCTTTCATCATGCCTTCCACCCCCCTCTCTGCATTACTTCATATATTATTAGTGTAAGATTTCACCCGTGCTTTTATTCAATTTGTTAATAAAATAGGCTGCAGGAACCTCAAAGGAATACAAGTACGAATCTTTTGGGGGTTCAAAGATCTCTGATTGTGCCTGATAGGCAAGAGAGAAACAGCCCTGTTTCCTCAGAGCAGCTTAAATATCAAAAATAAAGAGAGAGGAGACGTGAGCCAACGGACAGGGCGGGCAGCGGTGGCAGCGGGGAGAGCACAGTGAGAGGGGCTTGGAAAGGCGGGAGCGGTCCTCAGCCCCAATGGGCTGGAACAACAAACAAACCAACGGGCAAGGGAGGGCCTGGCCCCGCCACTCGTGACTCAGAGCCCAAAGGGACACCTACTGCGCGCCTCATCACACACCTCCTGGTATTTTCTCAGAAGAGAGGGAATTTCTGTTTGTCAGACACTCTTCCTCTTCCCGCCAACGCCTGAAGCTGAGCCTCACGCAGTCAGGGAAGGAAAGAAGCACGTGCAAGCATGCCTGCATGTGTGCGCGTGTGCATGCGCATGTGCGTGCGCGTGTGTGAGTGTATGTGTGCGCGTGTGCATATGTATGTGCGTGTGTGCACGTGTGTGCATATGTTTGTGCGTGCGTGTATGTATGAGACTTCACCAGCAGAGACTCAGCAGGGGTCCAACTAGCAGTATCTTTGTAATGATCACAATCTATTGGCCTGCGAGCACCGAAAACATTGTTTTAGGACTGCTCCGTTAAAAGGGCTGTTTGGATTCGCCTCCGTGGCTCCGAAATGATCATCTACTTCAGTTACATTTTCGAATGATTACTTTGCCAAATTGCCACTGAAAGGTTAATGGTTATTTTCCCAATCGATCCCAGCTGTTTACCGTTCTTTTCTGATGTTCTCAGGAAGATCATGTCAGCAGGCACCCGCTGGTTCTGTTACAAAAAGAAGGGCTGTTACTGTGGGCCATCCCGGGTGGGTTTCCGCACCACCACCCCCACCGCCCCTCGGTGGGGGGAGCCGTCGAAACCCACGGCGTCTTTTCAGTGTCTGCCTTTGTCCAAGACAGACGGGGGGTTTATTTTGTTCTGAATCTGAAAACCCTTCCACGCTGCTGTGACGTGCCTAATCCCCTGTTGAAATCACATCTCGGAAAGAGAGCTTCTAGCTTCCTGGCAAATCCAACCATTACCTCCCGAAATTCCAGCCAGGGACCCCGGCCTCAGGCCCGTGACCCTCGCTGACTTTGGTCCAGGCTGTCTGCTGAAAGGAAAGATACTCGCCCCCTGCTCACGCTCTCTGCTTCTACCCCTTTCCCGGCTGGAGGTTTGGCTTCCAGTGGGATTCTAATAAGGAAGTCAAGTCACAGGAAGGAACAAAAGCCATTCTCAAAAGGAGAGCGAGAGCCGACAGCAGCCTCATTTAACTGTGAACAGAGAGGACTGCGCCCAGCAGCACAGGGGGGTGTGGCTCCTCCGCGCTGCCGCCCAGAAGGGCTTCACTTCCCCGCAAATCGGGGTTGTTGGGTTTAATCCTTTTAAAAGAGCACAGCTCATTTCCTACAGAGCCCAGTCCAGACACACTCCTTTCAAATCAAATATTATCCCGAGACTGTCCAGAACCAGCCTCAAAATCCAATGCCTTCCAAATAACACAGTAAGAAGAGATGTGAGTATCCGCTGAAGTCAGGAGCAAATTAGCAGTGCTATTTTTAAAAATGTGTTTTTTGCCTTTTTTACTGTTCTCATAGTAACCTCTACTCCCCATAAAATGATTGAAAAGCATGATGTTTAAGTAAAAAAATGCAAGCTAAGGCCTGGCCGATGCGGCTCAGCTGGTCGGGCAATGTCCCGTGAACCAAAAAGTTACCAGTTCGATTCCTGGTCAGGCCACATGGCCGGTTTGCGGGCTCGATCCCCAGTAGGGGGCTTGCAGGAAGCAGTCGATCGATGATTCTCTCTCTCTCTCTCCCTACCCTTTCCCCTCTAAAAATCAATAAAATATAGACGTATATTTAATTATTTTAAGTGCAAGCTAAAATTGCTCAAAAGGTGAATGACAGACATGTTTATGTAGTTAATAGACTTCTAAGAAAGACTTCATGGTAAGTAAAAAAAATTTTAAAAAGACCCCAAAAAGAACAACGAACACATCAAACAGGAAATCAAAACTTGTGTCGGACTGCTAGCTAACCGACACATGTAAACCTGAAAAAATACTTTGTGCCCCTCAGGAAAGAGACTTTTCTCCCCAACAGAGCTGCTGGATGGAGCTGCAAACAGCGAGCATTCGATCAGAGCCGCCGACTGCACGCCAGCACTGATGTGAGAGCGGGCACTCCCCATTCACACACAGCAGAGGCCCTCACCTTTTCGACGATGATCAGGTCTCCCACTTGGATGTTGGCACTCTTCACCTTCACGGTGCCTGCAAAGAAACAGGTCCAAGACACATCCGTCTGAACTCGTTCCCGTTCCATGCGTCTTTATAGAGTGCCCAGCGCCTTCAAAGCCAGTGCGTACAGCAGAAGGATGAGCCCCCACCCCGCATCACCTCCTACCCCTCTGAGAAAGGTGCGTCTGAGGCAGAAACGGCTCCAGAAACTACCCCCCGACGGAGCTCTGGGAAGTGCCCACACCCCTCAAGCGAGATCTTCTGTCCTAATGGTGCCTTGGAAACTTTCCAACGTCCACACCATAGGAAACTCATTCAGCCTCAAACGAAAAAGAAAACCCACACAGACATGGGGAAGAGAGAGAAAAGGGCAGAAGGGCAGCTCTTAATTTTCAAAAAGAAAGATGCTAACCGAAAAGGACTAATTATTTTATTTTTTTTAATTTGCAACGGCTATACAGTTTGGTTTACATGGTTATGATCAGGTTACTTTTGCTGGATGTTTATCTGAACAAAAATGGAACAGCTAACATCAAACGCTGATTCTGTGCTGCGCTGGCTGGGTGGTTCAGTAGGCTGGAGCGTCATCCCGTACACCAGAAGGTTTTGGGTTCGATCCCCAGTCCAGGTGTGTATGGGAGGCAACTAATCGATATTTCTCTCTCACATGGATGCTTCTCTCTCTCTCCCTTCTTCACTCTCTAAAAATCAATTTAAAAAACATATCCTTCGGTGAGGATTAAAATAAAAAATAAAACATGTTTAAATGCTAATTCTGTGCTAAACACTGAATAGGTATTGGCATGTGGCTGGCTCTGTTTACTCCTCGGGGTGGCCACCGGGAGGAGGCATGATTATCTCGTCTTCAAAGGAGGACAAAGGCTCAGACATGCCTTTAGTCTCACAGGTATTCAAATCCACATCCGACTCCAGAGGAAGGAATAAGAAACAGTGAGTTCAGTTCAACTCAAAAAACGCCTATTGAGTGCTGCGCCCTAGGAATTCAGAGACTGACGTGGGTCCCCGCATCCTAAAACCGTGCCTCAGGCAGGAGTCAGCAAGCGTGTGCCATAAAGGGCCTGACCGTAAAAGTGTGGCGTGTCCCGGCCAAGAGACAGTGTTTGCAATTCTCCCAACCCCGGTCTCCCGCCAAAGGCTAACAGTCTTTGGTCTGCATTTCATATTTTAACCCCTGGAGTGCCGGGGAGGCGATCCCGCTCCTCCTGTCTTTCTCCAAAAGTGCCGGGAGCGCTATTCAAATTTTTTTCCTACTAGTATTTTATAATACAATCAGCAAACAATATATGTCGAAGATGAAAACAAACGTAGTGAAGGTTTCCTTAAGTTTTTGAATATGTAACTTCATTTACTCGCGATTCATAATTTTTTTCCTAAACTGCTGTAAAATCGGCAAAAATGCCTTGGCAATTTTAGCATAGTTCCTGGGATATTGGTTGGCACTCAAAGGGTTAAAGTGCAAAAACCATCCTCAGCTCCCAAGCCATACCAAAAAATCCTATATAATAAAAGCCTAATACGCAAAGTGTCTGGTTGTCAGTCATCCGTTCAACCAATCAAAGTATAATATGCTAATGATATGCTAAGGCCGCTCAACTGCTTGTTATGACATAGACTGACCACCAGGGGGCAGACGCTCCAACCGGTAGGTTAGCTTGCTGCTGGGGTCTGGCCAATTGGGACTGAGCGAGATGGGCCAGACACGCCATGGGTCCCTCCTGCGGTCTCTCCCCAGCTGGCCAACCTCCCACATCCCTCCTGGCCCTAATCGTGCACCAGTGGGGTCCCTCAGCCTGGCCTGCGCCTTCTTGCAATCCAGGACCCCTCAGGGGATGTCAAGAGAGCCGGTTTCGGCCCAATGGTGGAACGACAGGTCACTATGACACACACTGACCCCCAGGGGGCAGACACTCAACGCAGCAGCTGTCCCCTGGTGGTCAGTGCACTCCCAGAGGGGGAACAGAGCGGCAGTGGTGGAAGTCTCTCCCACCTCCACGGCAGCACTAAGGATGTCCAACTGCCAGCTTAGGACATCCCCCGAGGGCTCCCAGGCTGCAAGAGGGCGCAAGCCAGGCTGAGGGATCCCCCGCCACCCCCCATCCCCCCCTCCCCCGTGGAGTGCATGAATTTTGTGCACTGGGCCTCTAGTAATAAAATAAAAGGTAGTGGGCTGACTTTGCCCACCAGTTGTAGTTCGCTAACCCATGAGCTGGTGAGAAAGACAGCCAGGCAGATGCTGCTGGTGCAAAATAGTATGTGAAATGATGGGAGTGAGTCAGTGAGCTGAGTGAGGGACCAGGAAGGAGGGGAAGTCCCCCTTTGAAGAAGGATCTAGAACAGTGCTCAGCACACAGAAGGCACTGACTATTCAATCAACATTCCAGCACCATGCACTGGATGCCTGCTGTATGCCAGGCAGTCTAAGGGCGGTGATCCACGGAACTCACCTTCGAGTGGAGGCGAGAATCAAATAATGAGTGGAGGGGTGGGGGGCAGAGAGGTGTGGACCAATGCTTCACAGGAGTGGTGAGGCCAGAACTCACCAGACGAAGGATCCTGGTTGCCCGCAGTAGAAGGGAGGCAGGCACAGAGGTGAGAGAGCACGTGAGTAGGACACATGTGTGCCCCTTTAGCAAGTACAAAAACATGGCGTGAAGGCAGGGAACAGAGAGATGAAGGTGGAACTGGCTGGTCAGGGCCTGCATCCAGACGGGTCCAATTCTCACACGAGGGAGCAACACCATAAAATCTTTATGTTATTGGCATCTTGTAACAAGCCCATTTAACTCACAAGAGAGAGGAAAGAAAGAGTAATAATGACCCCATCGTTCATTCAACACCAATGAGGATTCCTAGCTTTTGTTCCTTCAGCATTGAAAATAACTTAAAGGCACCAACAGAAATAATCTGAGTGCACAACTCTAGATTTTTACAATTTTTCACAATATTTCACATAATTTAACCCCTGGTGTCTTTTTAGTAAGTCAGCACCATGGAGACTTTAACTCATTCCAATTATTTCTATTGAAACAACTGTATTAGGTTCCATTGGGTTGGGTTTTCGCTAATTTTTATATGTAATTAGGTTTTGTCATAGTAAGTAGAACTGACACTACAAGAACTGTCCACGAACACTAATGACTTCTAGAAAGCACGTCGCAGATGGTGATGGGCCAACCCACCTTAGTGCCTCTCCAGGAATGTGTCTCTCACCCCACGAGGTGAGCATTTAATAGTGTCCCACTATCATAAAACACAGCGCTACATTCAGTCCAATGACCTGAGCCCCGACGTGCCAGAGACCTACTAGGCTCAGGCATTGATCCTGTCGTGGGCTTTGGTAAATATATTGACAGGGGGACTAAAGGACAGCCATTGATACAAACAGACCATTAGCAATGGGCCCAGAGAGGGTCCAATGCACGGAATTCTTTTCCTGCCCGAACAGCTGTCCTCGAACCACTAGGGGGCGACAGGACCACCGCACACAGACACGCAGTTCTTTCTGGGGAGCTCCCCGTGGCGTTCCTGGAAGGAAGATCGGAAATTCGGCCAGCCCTCTGCGCCAATACACTTCTCCTTCCCTGGACTTGCCCCAACTTTCCCAAACATAAATTTACACGTTGTCTTTGGTTCCATTACTCAAATTGATGCTGGTGGCCTGACCCAAACTATCACGCTGGTGTTCTGGTCTTCGAGGTCTGGTTCCCACCTTCTTTCAACATCTAGGTGAAAGAGTATGGTTACTCTTATTAAATAATAATGGTGTGTGTGTGTGTGTGTGTGTGTGTGTGTGTGTGTTAGCAGGAGACAGGGCAAAACCAGAAGGATTCGACTGAAAGGGGTGACAGCAATTCTTTCTGGGGACGTGGGGTTTATCTTTCTGTCTGCACACACGCGTTTTTAATTCTTCACATCGGTTTTTTTAAAATAAGCACGAGGTGCTTTTCTCATAAGGAAAAAATAATAAATTAAATTAGCTCAAACGTCTAAGTGACCAGGCTCAGATTTCTTTCTTTTTTTTTATCTTTATTGTTGAAAGTATTACAAATGTCCCTTTTTTTCCCCATTGACCCCCTGCCAGATTTTTCCCTTCCTACAGGGCGTCCTGATTTATGACGGGTTAATTTGAACTCTGCCGCTCTCTGTCCATCTGCTCTGGCTCAACAAAAACCCCTTTAATCCGCTGGGCTGCGGGGCAGTCTGTGCTACCCCAGCAGACCGACCTGCACACAGGCACTCCTCCTGGGGGACAGGCCCTCCTCCTAGGGGACGGGCACTCCTACTGGGGGACAGGCACTCCTACTGGGGGACGGGCAGCCAACGGCCCGCTCCCTCTCAGGAGGAGGGCCATGGGGGCCATAGTGGGCACAGGAGCCACGGGGGGCCACACCATCAAGAGGTCACTTGTGCTTCTTCACCAAGGTTGCCCGAGGAGCATGCTGGTATTTGGGGGCGAAGAGGGGGTGAACCTCGACTTCGCAGCCTCAACAAAGGGAGACCCTCAGCCCTCCCACTCTGCTGAGCTCCCACACGGGTCCTGACCACGAATGCGACTTCCTTCCCCCTCGCTGTCACGCTCGCGATCAGAAAATGGGCAGTTCAGGCCTGTATGTGGGGCCGGTGTTTAGCGTGTGTCTGAATGAGAAACAAATAAAACGAAAAGAACGGAAAGGAGAAAACGCAGCAGGGAGAGGCGAGGGAAAGCAGGCACTGGTACGACGTATGCTCCAGCATCTATGGCTTCCCAGCTCAGCCGAGTAAAATGTCCCTGCGCAGGGGCTCAGAGTGGAGGGACAGGCCTAGCGAGGGGGGAGGAGGGAGGGGGGAGGGGGGAGGCCCAGAGTTCGGTGAAGAGCCCAGCACTCAGTGGCTGGGACGAACTCAGGGCAGAAAGCTCTTCAGTGGTGGAAAGGACCCAGAACACGATTTCTCATCTTCATGTAACCACTGTCCTGAGCTTTCTACCATCGTTCTCACAGAAACTAGGAAATGCAGATGCCCCCGGGCAAAGC